TAAGACGGAATGGGAATTTTAACAATATCTAGATTTACTTCACTTCTGCACACATGTAAACGATAATAAGAAAAGTGGCCTGTTCTTATCAACAGTATACTTGGCAACCATAACTGTTACTTAACTTCTTGGCTAATCTACAAAATGGAACGACTCGCTGGGGAAACGCAATTTCCTCGAATAAAAAGGAATTTACAAAATACCGGCGTCTTTTATTGTGTTTTATCATATCAACACGAAAGCCGTTAAAAGTGCAAATAAAATTACGACAATTATTTCAAAAGTTTTCAGAATTTAAATTGATTATACAGCCACTGTCGAGACCTTCCAGTGGTTGTTTTACATGTAGTTTCGGTGTATGAATGATATATACGTTTAGTCCTACAGTAAATGTCGTCGACCTTTTAGGAGCCATTTTAGTTTGGGTGTATGTATAATATACAGCACATGAGTATTATTTTATATTCTTATATTTAGTTAAACAAATATTCAGCAAAAATAAAAATAAATGATTCCAGAACATTGTCAAATATTCAAAGCGTTATCATAGAGCAGTTTACACACATGAATATTAGCTGACTTAGCTTTTGTATCGAGTATACGATATTGAAAGTATTAAATTAGATTGCTTAACTTTGCACGTATTATTTAAGCACTATACGATAAGTTTGTCACTTGTTGCATTTATACTAGTAGATCTGCAACATCTAAGCAGTTGTTGTTGTTTATAATCGTTTTTATATAAAAATGCAATTAGGATTGATGCTTTTCACTGAAATTTAAACAAATCTGTTGTTAATCAGCAACACGAAAAGCTGACGTCACGCGCTATTTCCAAAATAAGATTTAAAGATGAAATCACTATATCATATTTGATTTTTTTTATCAGAAAATAAACAAAATTAGAAAATAATAAAACAATCATATTAGATAAGGAACGATTTTAGTATAGAGGAACCTTTTAAAAGATTTTTAAAGAACTATTTTACGACCGGGTAGTCACACAATGGCAACAGCAGTGTTTAGTCTTCGTATACATACACTGCAAATATCAGTGGCATTTATACCCTCATAATTGACACTCCTCATAGAAAGGATACAGAAGGGAATAGCCACATCAAATGAAAACATACGACTGCAATGCAAACGAAACTGGCGGAAGCTGACTTGGACCAATTTAGATATCTTGAAGCTGCAACGGATGGAATCGAATGTCCATGCTTTAAGCTTTCACCTTTCGCATAGTACAGGCTATATCAGCTTCCTTAAATACCAAGTTGGATTTCTCCGTGATAATAATGGTATCAATGAATGGCGTGTAGGGCTGGAGAAAACTAGGACTACGGCACAATGATTAGATAACGACGTTCTCGTATGGTCGTACTGGGATTCAGTGAACGTTCTATCCCATCAGCGCTTTTTTTTAAAAAACTTCTATTGAATAATTCTGCCTCCTAGATAAGATTGTCGGTAGTCGGCGTATTATGGGCATTTACACAGCACGTGTTTTTCATAGTCAGCACCTGAATCACATACGGGTCACACGCGTCACGTGTTTACAACATTCTGGTACCGTACAGATTCTATGTACAGGCTACACAGTACGATGATAATTGGCAATGTACTTCCTTAGTGGGAACTGGGGAGGGGATCTCTACAGTTATCTAGTACTAAACATCTTATTAGTCTTTAGGGTTTTGTTATCACCATTTCCATACCTTGGAAATTTATCGAAAGTGTGGTACATGTACCGTAAAACTGCATCCGTATTTGCGCGCACTAAAGCTGTATTGTATGAAGATTCAGACGAACACTGCATAATCGTTGCTAGCGGTTGTTATATTTAACGGATTGAAACACCCGATCCAATTAAACTTACGAAACGAGCTGCAATCGGTGTTATTAGTTGCGTTTCGTTAATGGATTAAGACCCAATGTGTATACAGGACTTTAATGAGTATAAATATCACCGTATTGAATATGCAGTATAAAATCAGTACAAGTACATGATCAGTACAGTCTCAGTATAAACATCACTGTATAGGAATAGCATACCGCATCATTGTAAGAAAATTATATTTTCAGCATAATAATCACTTAATAAATATAAGTATCACTGATTGATAAAAATATTGTAAGCATAAATATCAGTATATGACCAGTGAAAGTTCAGGATAGAAATCACTGTACACACACCCATATGACACATGTATACATAACAAGTATCAGGTTAGTATACAGATCACTGTATGATCAGTATAAGTTCAGTATAGATATCACTGTATAATCAGTATACGTTCCGTATAAAGATCACTGTATGATCAGTATACGTTCAGTATAAAGATCACTGTGTATGATCAGTATACGTTCACTATAAAGATCACTGTATGATCAGTATAAGTTCAGTATAAAGATCACTGTATTATCAGTATAAATTCAGTATAAAGATCACTGTATGATCAGTATAAGTTCAGTATAAAGATCACTGTATGATCAGTATAAGTTCAGTATAAAGATCACTGTATGATCAGTATAAGTTCAGTATAAAGATCACTGTATGATCAGTATAAGTTCAGTATAAAGATCACTGTATGATCAGTATAAGTTCAGTATAAAGATCACTGTATGATCAGTATAAGTTCAGTATAAAGATCACTGTATGATCAGTATAAGTTCAGTATAAAGATCACTGTATGATCAGTATAAGTTCAGTATAAAGATCACTGTATGATCAGTATAAGTTCAGTATAAAGATCACTGTATGATCAGTATAAGTTCAGTATAAAGATCACTGTATTATCAGTATAAGTTCAGTATAAAGATCACTGTATGATCAGTATAAGTTCAGTTTACCCATCATACCCTGTCTCATGCATACACACACGCAAGCACGCATTTACTACACACATGAAGGCACGTCCTTAAAAAACAAAATTAAACCGAATCAAACTAATCAGTATAGATATCACTGTATGATCAGTATACGTTCAGTATAAGGATCACTGTATGATCAGTATAAGTTCAGTATAAAGATCACTGTATTATCAGTATAAGTTTAGTATAAAGATCACTGTATTATCAGTATAAGTTCAATACAGATATCACTGTATTATCAGTATACGTTCAGTATAAGGATCACGGTATGATCAGTATAAGTTCAGTATAAAGATCACTGTATGATCAGTATAAGTTCAGTATAAAGATCACTGTATTATCAGTATAATGTTAGTATAAAGATCACTGTATTATCAGTATAATGTTAGTATAAAGATCACTGTATTATCAGTATAACTTCAATATAAAGATCACTGTATGATCAGTATAAATTCAGTATAAAGATCACTGTATGATCAGCATACGTTCAGTGTAACGATCACTCTATGATCAGTATACGTTCAGTATAAAGATCACTGTATTATCAGTATAAGTTCAGTATAAAGATCACTGTATGATCAGTATACGTTCAGTATATAGATCACTCTATGATCAGTATAAGTTCAGTATGAAGATCACTGTATGATCAGTACACGTTCAGTATATAGATCACTCTATGATCAGTATAAGTTCAGTATAAAGATCACTGTATGATCAGCATACGTTCAGTATAACGATCACTCTATGATCAGTATACGTTCAGTATAAAGATCACTGTATTATCAGTATAAGTTCAATACAGATATCACATCATGATCAATATTGGAACATAGGACATGTGATATATTGCCTGACATAATGGGAAATCTGTCGTACACGCTAACCCCTAGTATTTCAATATCTCATGTGATAGAAACTTGTCGTTTTAATATTAAAACAATTAATCTAAGGCAATATGAAAGTAAAATCAATAAATACGGCACACGTTAGTTACACAGTCATATAAAAATAAAGCCAATTCAATTACAATAAATACACTTGAGATGTAAATCAAATTCGCCTGTGTTGTTTTATTTGGCTAGCGTTGTAAAACAAAAGTATACACAATCAAATCAATGTAATTCGTTTACGGCGAATGTCACGATAGAACAAGGAATATGTAATTCGCTGTCCATTTCCGTGTCAATTAACATGTCGTTCAGTCTCTGTATCTCGCCGGGCTATTTTCATCCGACTCATTTAAGCGTACTATAACACTGACATTTGAAAGCTATGCGCTTTTAAATGAAAAATGTCTGATATGGTCAGAGATAGCGAGAGAAAAAACTCTCAATTCCTGTTTTATCCGTGTTTCAGACAGGGAGTCTAACGCTAACTGGTTCGGACCAGGGAGCAAGCTGGCATTATAATCTGAAATCAAAATAAATCGCTCATGAATATTAATCAGTAAATATGATAAAAATTATATGTTTTGCTGGTTAATAGGAGAATTTAAGTTTGTGTTTAAAAGTGAATTCCAATCAGGATGTTTAAATAAATAAAAATTAATCGAAATAAGAAGTGTAGTATTTTAGGTTAAGTTAACTATTCTGAGCGCTGGTGTGTTGGACGGTCGGTCGGAGTAGATACGAGAGAAAAGCCAATTACTGAGGAGCCGAGCACACACCATCTGCGGTACTAATATCAAATATTAATGTTTATATTTTGCATGCAACAAGCTGCTGTGTTTTGTGGACAGAGGGCGTTAAATACAACAGAAAATGTTTAAACCGTTTTCTATTTGCCCATTAGTAAGGTGTGAAAATTCTTATCTGTTTTCTCGCTTTTTGACAAAAGTACCCTAACACCTTCTTGATTGTATCGACAGATTTTCTGTATGGTTCATAAAAACCTATGTATATAACACACTATTCAACGAACAAAGAATAGCTGTACACATAAGCTGGGATTAGCAATAAACAACGTGTGAAAAATCCCACAATTGTTAATGACTCAAATATTTCATACGCGGATTAGTGTTAGTATACCGGGTGTGCTGAAGTAAAAAGTAAATCCGAGGCGTTAAGGTTGTCGGGTCGTGTTCCGCGTAGTGGTTCTCGCTATCTGTAGTGCTAGGCGGGTGTGACCGCGTACAACATACCGACTTCTCTCAGTGTCGTGTGAGGCAGCGAAAGTACAACACCGGTGTTCAGCTCGTGTGTAGAAAAAAAAACCGACAATATTATAACGAGGAATATTTTGACTGAAGTAGGACCTAATCGGCTTCAGTCTCTATACCGTGTATAGACTAGGCCTTTATTTATTTATAAAGGACAGTAGTGTTGTATATAAAGGATATACATATTATACGTACCCGTTGAGGACCTCACCGTAGGACTTTAAATTATTTCTTAAAACCTTAGCCGTGTGTACTTAATCAGAGGAGTACATTCGCGTGTCAGTAAGCAGTGAGCTCCGGTCGGGGACAGATCGGAGGGAACACGGCTAGAGGATGGCGTCTATACCGACCTGCCCCCGAGACAACGACGGTAAGTACCACTTCCTTCACCCCCGGGTACTGGCCCAGTTTTCACTGATTTCCCCCACCCCCCGGGTACACTTTTGACATTTTTTAAGATACACTTGATTGTCACCAGTATGTATTTGAATGTGGATATTTTCTTGGTACTGATCTGATACCCGTCTCAGATTTAGATTCTCTATTAGCCGATAGCTGATTCTGCTACACCTTGTCTCGTTCTATGTTCCTTCGATTAGTTTTTTGTATACAACAACGATCACCTGCGATCGTGGTACCACGGCCCTGGGGTAGGACAGAGACGTTTATACGGATTTTTATGTCTCTGGGTAGCATCATGACTATCCACATTCCGGGGTATGGATGTCACGGTCTAATACAGCCCCTGAGGGGGTAGGGACACGTTTTCTGTCCCTCATCCGTGATCATTTTGACACACGCTGTACACACACTTTAACCCGATCAAGTGCCAAAGCTATAGTCTTGCATTAGCTCATTGTCAAATGTTGACTTTTCTTTGTACGTCTGTCAGTTACCACCGGAAAATCATGACACATCCATTGCCTTACCCTTAAAACTGTACACAACTCCACACCTCAACATTTGTTGTATATTTACACATTTAACTGCCAACATTATGGACCACAAACTGGTTTGTTAAGGGGTTGTCTGTAACTGTCTACATTTAGGGATCGTTAACGGACTGTAAAGGGGCTAGCACTGGACGTCTTTGTGTACAACGATGTCATGAGACGAAGCATTCGATCAATGAATCCTAAGGGATAACGTTTCTCCCCACTGACTCTCGAGGGATGCTATTAAGTACTAAAGCGATTCGTAAATGTATTTTTTCCCACTCATGAGACTATATCTCACCTGTAATCGAAGTCGATGATTGCAATTTTATGTAAATTAGGAATAACGGTAATATACCGTGTAGAATGTTCTAGCCCGATAAACTACGGTCTATGGCCTCACAACCCATTACCTGTTAAATAATTTACCTTTTATTTCTACCTGTAATGCTGATTTACTATTCTGTTAATGAGAAAACTAAAAGGGTATAGTGACAGTTTCATCAGACGTCTTCCCATTTACTCAAGTTGTTTATCAATTGCACGCCGAATATACGTACCAAGGTCTGACTAGCACGTAATAAGGTTGGAGGCAATTTTCTTTATTTACTTTTCTTAATTAAAGTCGGATCTACATGTCAGACTGACAAAATTATGTAAAAATATACATTACTAGAGGCAAAACACGTTATCGAAAACATCTTTCTTTCTATTGGGTGTATATTTCTGAATTTCACTATATTTCCCGTGAGCATCACATTATATAGCTATTACCATATTAAATGCGTATTTATAGAAACTTACTTATGACTTCATGACATGTTCTTTGTTTTAAACACAACACTCCTGGTATGATACATAGTGTTAACGGTTTGTGTGGGTTTCCATACCTGTTGTTTTGGTGTTTTGCACACTCTTCTAGCTTCACATCTAAACACAGGACCTGCACACTGGTCATCAGGTCAAACTTACTTATCATTGAAATACAAGCTTTAAGTACACTGGTCAAGCTTAAACTCTCATTTAAATACAAGTACACTGGTCAAGCTTAAGCTCTCATTAAAATACAAGTTCACTGGTCAAATTTTAATACTTTTCATACAAATACACGTTCGTTGGTCAAGTAAACTTCTCATAAAATACAAATACACTGGTCAAGCTTACTTCTTAGTAGAAGTTAGTACATACAAGTACACTGGTCAAATTTACTTCTCATGCAAATACAAGTACACTGGTCAAGTTTCCTTCTCATAAACAATTAAACATACAAGTACATTGGTCAAGCTTACTTCTCATAAATATACAAGTACATTGTTCAAGCTTACATTTCATAATTATACAAGTACACTGGTCAACTGGTCAAGCTTACTTACCTACATACAAGTACGCTGATCAAGCTTACTTCTCACTTACATACAAGTACATTGGTCAAGCTTACTTTTCACTTACACCTGTATACGTACACTGGTCAAACTTTATATCTTACTACGTGCAGTACACTGGTCAAACTTTTGTATAACCACGTAAAAGTACACACGTTTTATTTTATATCTATCTACGTACAAGTACACAAGTCTAACTTTACTTCTCAAAACCAAACTTGTATGTCTACACACAGACACAGCTAAAGGATTGAATGTTGTAATTGTCCACTTACAAATGACAGCATGCGAGCAAATTGAAGGTCATGACACCGATGTGTAAGATAACCCTATTACGGGATTTGACACCCTCGATATACATTCGTTATTATAAATACACGTGTAATGATTGACAGTCACATGCAATAGGTGCACAGTCAGTGTGCATACAATACTAGAAGCACAAAGTCCTGAAACGTGTCTTAGATACCAGGTTTGTCGGAATATTATTTACACAAACAACAATAATGGGCGAAATCTCAGCCATATTTTGTGGATAAAATTGCCAAGATTCAAGGCAGCCATGAGTCAGCAGTACGACAGGATAAAATATAACTCTTCGATTCTTCTTCTTTGAATTTTGCGCATAAAAATGTTGGTCCGAATAATCGATATATTTTATTTGCAGCCGTCCATTTCTCGATTCTTAGAATTTCTATATCGTACAGATAAAAAAAAGTAAGGCTACAAAAACACATTATTCGTGTGGGTTTAGAATCTATATATATGCGATTCAGGAAAACTTAACTGAGGAAAATGCAAAAGATACAGTATTTACAAATGTCTGTTCAACTCTGTTGCCTGATCAATGCAAAAGAGTTATCTTGATTGAAGGAATATGCAACACTTTTCACTTAAAGGTTTACAGAGCATAATTCCGACCCTTAGGTTTGTCTTCAAATATAAAGACAAACGAAAACCAGTCGATGATTTGAACCAGAGGAGATCTCTAGGGCACTATCAGTGCTTTATGTGGGATATCTGATCCTGGAAACCTCTCCGGGGACAGGCATGTAGCCAATTTACCACGCCGACTGTCACACAACGTGTGTTCTGGGCAGAAATTCTGACCCCGAAATAGTTAACGAGGAGTGCGTACATCGGTGACCCGATATCCCCGTGTTATTGTTCCGGGGTACACATTAACCTGCTATAATAACAACATGTCCGATGTTTACTAATTGGATCAGCTGGCCCCCCAGACACGTGGACCGATTAAGTAGGGGGGACCGTAGGCAGAAAAAGAGGGTTTCACGTGAGAGACGACAGGCTTATCCGGATCCAAAGCTGTGTTTACAGAAATCAAGCACCCCACAAGTTGACACAACTACTCACTTTACATGTGTTTTCAGCGTTTTCAGATGTATTTAGTACTCTAGAGATTTCAGATAAACCTGTGACAGATTCATATCACAGTTTATACTGGCCCGGGTGCTCCTTAGCTAATCCTGAAATATCGTATGTTCTGTTTTTGGCATTTCTTATCAGAAACGTTTTTTTTTTCTCAGCGTTTTCTGTAGCAAGTTGAGCACATGAGTGACGGTGTTAACCGTTCTTTGTATACGAACGTGTCCGCAGTGGGGCCTAATGGACCCTAATAGTTCACTGTTCATTAACTCCAAATACATTTGTTATTGTCTAGTTTGAGATACACAACGCTTGCATTGTGTGGTCTCAGTGACTAACAATAATTTCTAAACATCCAATTCCATTATAAGAAACAATTTCCCAGTACAGAACGCACATTACAGAACTCCGAAGTCGGCGGGAAAAAAACCCGAGATAAAAATATAAAAAGGCCGTATAAAAAAAAGTGAAAAACTTTTTTTAGTTTGAAAAACCAGTGAGGCACATAAAAACGCATGTAAATGCAGAATAAATCAGCTTGAGAAAGTAATGAGACGGAAAATGAAGTTTTGGAAGGAAGGGAGGGGGATGGAAGGGGACGCTAACGTGTGGGCAACACCGTCGTGTGGTGTCGACAAGGAGTGGGTTACGGGGGGAGGGGAGAGACAAGTTTGTGGGGAAGGGAGAACCTGAGTAAGAGAAGGGGACCGTGGTAGGGGAGGGTGTGCAGTGAGGCTTGCGTAAGACACTAATTGGAATGTTGCTTTCTATAATTGTTGTGATGCCAGGAATCTTTGACTACTGGTTACGCCTTGTGAAAATGTTACGGAGCAAAGAATGCGCGCTCGTTGTTTGCTTGTGTTAACTTGATGTGAGACCCAGCATCAGTTCCTCGGGACATTTGTGTGGCGCGTTACACTTACGCTTTAGAAACTATTTGTATGATAAGAACACAGAGCACATTAAGCCGGAGAAACACCGCAGGATTGACACTAAAATTAGGGCATTATAGGTCCGCTCTAGTTAACGTTATTGGACGGTAAATAAAACATGAATTCCTGTCCATCCTCTTTATTCATGTAATGAAACTGAGTTCCATTTACATACATCTAAACCCTTCTAATGACCAAATGGCGCTATTCCTGTATGCCATTGTGGGTAATAAATTATCTTGGAATAATATTTGATTGAGAGAAGACGGAATCTTGCTCATAATTGTTTTTAATCGACCTGTTACTAATAGGAGTGAGCGATGTTTCCCTATCAATAATTCAAAAATGGTTCTTGCGCCATGTTCCCAGCGTCTGGACCCATGGAGATATGTCAGTTCTTCGATCGCCCATCTATGTATCTAGCATGAATCATTTGTGATTGATCTGTTGTACGTACACACAGCTAAAACCATGTATCGGCAAATGGTAATATAACTGACATGGTGTGCCCGCATTAGTCCTATCAGGGCCTTCCATACTCTATCAGAGCCGAGCTTCGCCTGATAGATCATCTATGACCACGGAAATATCGGATTGGAAAAATTCTGATACTCCAAACTGCATCAGATAGGTGGGAGTTGAGGTTCTGTGTATATGAATACCAATGTGGGATGTGACGCGATAGAAGAAAAAAAAAATTAAACGGGATGAATACTGAAAACATAACGACTAATG